GAGCCATGTTAAGACTGATGAAATGCAAATACGGTTAGAATTGTCAGAATCACAAGGGTACATTTTTTGAATGGGTGATTTTTGAAAGAAAAGGACACAAACTGGTTATGGAGGAAAGGACAGTTCAGAGTGGTATAAACATTAACATTGTATGTCTAGAGAGCAGCAATTAGGTGTTTGGAATCTAGTCATAAAAATTCTGAATTAGGCAGTAATGAGAGATGTCAAGGTAATTAGATATGGGGAAAATGCAAGAAGATAAGAAGAGCCTTGAAACATTACTTATGTATGTAGATTTGATATAATTCGTTGTTATAATTATATATAGTAATGGATTTGATTATTCAAAAGTTTAGGTTTTTGAGCAAAAGAGGCACATAAGAAAAATCCACAGTAACATGATTTTCCCAATGCAAAGATTAGATCAGTGTTTCTCAGGAGTGATTTTGCCCTCATCCCCCACCCTACCCTCCTTGCGTGGGTGGTATTTGGCAATGTCAGAAGACACCTTTGGTTGTCACAACTCAGGAGGCAGGGTGTTACTGGCATCTAATGGGAGGAGGTCAGGCATGCAGATAAATATGTTGTAACACACAGAACAGCCCCCTACAACAAAGAATCATCCAGCCCAAAATGTCAACCATACCATGATTGAGAAACTCTGGGCTAGATGAAGAAGGAAGAGAAGTGAAGTGTTTAAATTTAACCAAAAAAAATGTAAGAACTAGGTCAGAGTTCTTCAACTGATCCCTTGTTTATATAATCAGTTGCTTCCTCCATCAAGTTACTCACAAAGCTAATACGACGAATAAAGATAATATCATTTATATTCAACTCTAGAAATATTCCAAAATTAATTTTACATTCTGCCCTTAAGACTTTGTATAAGTTTTATACATGGATGAATGTATAAGATTCAACATCCATCAACATGGATGAATCTCAGAAACAATGCTGAATGAAAAAGCAAGAATATATTCAGTATGATGCCATTTACATAAAGCTTGAAAACAAGTGAAACCAAACAATACATTATTTTGGGATATATACACATATAGCTATATGAGAAAAATGAAAGAATGATAGCACCAAGATCATACAGGGTAGTATTTGTATTTGCAAAAGGGAATGAGCTTGGAGAAAAGCACGAGGTGTCCTTAAATAGATTGATTATATTCTATGTTTTAGCTTAGATGCTGGGTTATTGAGTGTTTCTTTTATTACTGTGTTTTATAATTTACACAAATGTCAAATTTTCTCTTGGGTGTATAAAAATCACATATAAAAACAATCATAAAATTCAGTTATAATAGTATAGTGGTCACTGAAGATTTTTCCTTTAAGTTCTATCACCACCTTCAGGTTAAAACTGGGTACTGCAAAGAACTGTTTATTCAAAGACCAAATTCATGAATATCAAAATACAGTAAATGAACTCTGCGAGGCATTTGTGATAATAAAGAACTACAAAAGGCAGAGTTTCTGCTCTCACTTTACTTAAATCCTGTGGAGAAAGAACACAGAACACATTAAAGAAATAAATAATATAGCACAAAATGTTCTACTGTAAGCACTCCCTGGTCAGTGTCATCTTAAATATAAAAATGCTATTTTACGCAGCATGACAACCAATCAGAATCCAACTCCTTGACTTGATTTATTCTGCTACTACCTTAGGCCAGGCCTTAATTACTTCATGCCAGTTACCACCTGTTCTCATCTCCCGCTCTCCCTAGCTTGTTCTAAACATTGCCACTAGATTAAAGTCTTAAAATAACTACCTCATTATATCATTGCTTCTTCTATTAAAGATTTATTTGACAGAGAGAGACACAGCGAGAGAGGGAACACAAGCAGGGGGAGTGGGAGAGGGGGAAGCAGACTCCCCACCGAGCAGGGAGCCCGATGCGGGGCTCGATCCCAGGACCCCGGGATCATGACCTGAGCCGAAGGCAGATGCTTAATGACTGAGCCACCCGGGCACCCCTCATTGCTTCTTCTAAAGACTCAGTGTGATTTTACACTATCCACAGAACAAAGCCCAATCTCTTCAGGATCAACATTTAAGATTTTCTACAGTTTGTACAAAACACATAGAAACGTGTTCATCACTCCTGCTTTCTTCTCTTGCCTCCCCGTTCCCCATCCCATATGAATCCTCCACTTCACCCCATCTGGTTTTTGCATTATCCTTTACTAATTCTGGATGTACTATGTGTTTTAAGCATGCTTCTTTCCATTTGGGCCTCCTCTCCTATGTTTAATACGTGTATTAAGTTCTTAAATATGGGAAACTGAGAGGTAGTTTCAACATGTATCTCTGAGACCACTCATTCCCCATTTACATTTTCACTAGACTGTTGCCCCTAATTCCGTTCTGCACAGAAACTGTGCCATCATTATTTTTGAGGCAATATATTAATATTCTTTCTCTGAATTCCCAGAGCACTTACTGTCGGTATCATTTATTTGCCATATTCATACACTACTGATACTAAATGGATTCGTTTGCTTAAGGTTTATTTTCTGAATTAAGTGTTAAGGTTTGGGAGATCTGAAATAATTTTATAGTTTTTCAGGTTTTTTCTTTCCCTTGTTCTCTGCTAAGATCAGTATTCTCATATTTGAGTTTGAGGATCTCTTTTTAATCTAAAAATTTAATATAAAAATTCCTCAGGCTCCGCCCCCCACTAAACAGATATAATAGTATTGACATTTTTTGACATAAATTTAAAAAGCATAATGACCATATTAAGTAATGATTTTGAATCATTTGAGTTGTTTTAATGACAATAGCCTCTACATATTTAGAAACTATATATATATATATAAACAAAATGATTATGGTGATGATAATAAAGATAGCTAATATTTTGGGGCCTTCCCATATGCTAGTAATTTTTTCCACTCATTCTCTTAATCAAAAATCCCTCCAACGAGTTCAGTAGACCTCAGTTTCACCAGGGCTCTACCACTTGGAGCTGTCAGAATTTTGGTGATTTATTTAACCTTTCATTTCTAAAATGGAACAAATGCGGGATCAATCTCTTCAGGAGAGTTGGGAGAATTAAGAAAATCACAACAAATAAAATGCTTAACTTCTGCCTTCTACAAAATAAATACTACTTGAAAGAAAATCCCTGCAAGGTAGGCAGTATTATTCCCTCCCCTCATTTTAAAGATGGGGCAACTGAGACTCAGAAAGGTTAAGAAACTTGCCCAAGATTTTAGAGCTATCGAGTGGTGGAATTAGAAGGGAGCCTAGAGCACTCTGTGCTTTGGATTTCCACAGCCCTTTGTTTTCTTACAAAACAAAAATTATTTACATCACATTCTATTTCTCGATCCTTCACTAAAATATTAGCCCTTCAAGGGCAGGGACTATGTTTTTGTTACCTAAGTAACTACCAATGTTAGACACACAGAATGTACTCAAAAATATATGACAGTGTCAAAGATCATCGCCATGAGACTGAATCTGAATACAGTTTCAGGAAGAGTTTTATTTACCTGAATTATGTATTGAGATAGGATTCTTTTACTTGGTTTTTTGAATAATATCTGTTGGTGATTGAGAACAATTTGTTGTTGGAACCTAAATGTCCATTATTCATTCTACTCTTATTTTGCTTAAAACAAACTCACCTTACAAACTGTCTAAAAATAGAATGCTCTTGCACTCAAGTAAAATTGAAGGTGTTTTAACTTTTCAGGGAGTCACACTAAAGGCCTTAAAAGTCATTATCACTTTTTTCTCCCAGTGTGTTACGAGTGTTAAAAAGGAAATAGGCCCCAAATGGAGTCATGCGTACTAAAACCCCACATTAGCCAACTAAGGCTTAATACCTAACCTAACTGCAGTTTCAACACCCCAGTAATATAACCTTTAACTAGTCACCCTGGAATGACTTGGTCATCAGTAGGTCAGTAATCCATCTGGCAAGGCTTTCCTTTCCACTTAGGAAGGCAACCTTACCCAGAAACAATGCATTCTTTGCTAATAATTTCCTTTTTCCACCCCTTCCTGCTTTTAAAAACATTCCTTCTACAGCTCTAAGGATCTCCTTCTCTTTGCTGGATGGAATGCTGCTCAATTCATGAATTGTCGAATAAAGCCAGTTAGATCTCAGGATTCACTCAGTTGATTTTTTTTTTTTTTTTTAACCAAGAGAGAACCTGTCAATTTACCATCCCTGATAGAGCCACCGCGGAGATGCGAGCATAAATCAAAACAGAATTCAGAGACTAGTTTTAAGAGAAAATTTCCCTATACTAGATTGATTAAAATCATCTGGTTCTTCCAAGCAAAAAGTAGGACATTAATCCAAGGTGGTGTTCATTATTAACATTTAGGATTCTCCCACTGACTACCTATATAGTTAGTTTAGCCAATTAACTTCCCGTGATTAATCTCCACCGTGTAAAATCAGGACTAGATCGTAAAGGCCCTTCTGGTTCCATCTCTTCGTAACCCGGATGTGGGTGGGCAAAGAACCAGAGGAGCGACTTAGGTCTTTCTCCCCTCCCTCCGGCAGGATCCGGATCTGACAGCCACACAGTAAACCAGGACGAGAGTCTCCTCAGTTTTTCCAGCTAAGGAGGAGGTTCACTCTTACTTCCGCACAGGCCCGGAGCCCCCAGCTCGCAGAGCAGCGCCGCGAGGTTCACAGCATGCCGGGATTTATAGTTAACCCTCTCGTGACCGACGCGCGGACGCTTATAAACCAGGGTCGAATTGGCATTCTGGGATATGTAGTCTCTGGTTGGTCGTTCGTGTAAGCGGCGCCAGGCTAAAGGGCTCGAGGTGACACCACAGACTCCGGCGGTCACATGACTCCAGTCTAGAACGTTGATCGCACTGCAGCTCCCGCCCCGGCGAGTTCTCGCCCCCGCGCGGCCGTTGCCGAGGAGACGGCGCAGTCTCTCGGCTCGTTGCCCCCTCTGCAGTCCCCCCCGCCCCTCTTCTCCCACCACAATGAGATCCTAAGATGGCGGTGGCTGCGGCGGTTGGCGCTAAGGTAGAGGAGGCGGCCATTGGGCCCTAGGCAGCCAGGGAACTTGTAGGCGCTCCCTGCTGCGGTCTCTAAGGGAGGACCGCTGCCGGTGGCGGGTCGTAGGGCCTGACCGCTACTCCACCGTTGGCAGGAGCGGCTGTTTCGTTTACAGGTAATGCTGCGCGTCCCCAGCCCTTGGCAACCGAGGGCAGCGCGGCGCAGGGCGGGAGAGCAACGGCTCTGGGACGCTTGACCCTGTCGGGCCTGGCCTCGGGCCCACGCCTTTCCGTGGGCTTCTGGGTCTTCTTGCTACCATCTTCAGGTCCCCTAGGCAGACAGCCCGCCCCTTACCTCGGGCCGAACGACGCGATCTCCGGGTGAGCATCTAGGGACGCGTTAGCGACTGCAGAACCCTCTTGTTGCCTCCCCGCCCCTCTCATTTTCTGGACCGGAGGAGGAGGCCTCCCTGCGTCTCGGGTGCTCCAGGGGAATGTCCCTTGCGAGTGGAGGAAGCGGAGCGGGGGTTTGGTTGCCAGGGACAGGGCTCTAGTTCTCCATAGCAAGGGGCCTTAGTGGCCTTAGTGTACGTGACTGCGCCCGCTCCCACCCCCCTTCCCAAATTCCATTCTGTGGGGCTCTCGATGTCCAGAATTTTGGGTGGAAGAAGGCCAGGTGAGGAGCGACGCGACTTTTGCGTTGGGCTGCGAGCAGCGGATTTTTGCTGTCTCGGGTATTCTTAGAGCAGAAAGGCGGGGGGGAGGCGTTCCTGACTTTGGCGAAGAGGTGGCTTATACTTGCGAGAGGAATGATAATTTAACAGCTCTTCTCTCCCCCCCTCCGTGTCCAGTAAGAAAGGGCCTAAGATGGGGAAAACTAAATGCCAAGTGGGATTTCTTGCTTTGCAGAAACTGGTGTTTGGGGATTGGATAGTAGGCCCTGCTAGGGAGGCGGGTCATCCAAACTTTTCATCCTGTGGCCCACTCCTGAGGATCTCAGCTTGTTCGATTTTTTTTTCTTTTTTTCTTCTTTTTTGACCGGTTTGAGGTTTGCGTCTTGTGCCCTATGAGTAACGTATTTTGGCGCTGGAAGAGGCGGGCTTTCTGGGCGCCCCTATCACCCCCGCCCCATAACTGCTTTCCAGACTCTGCCTTCTGGTATTCTCTGGTTCCTGGAGTGGGTGTTGTAGAGCTTCGGGTGCACCTGCTCTTTTCTTTGCCTCTTACCTTATTGGTGAGAGTCCTGGAAACCATTATAATACTGAGTTTCTGAACTGCAGGTAAACCTTGTGTGTATATATGACAAGGTTATTATAATTTTTTAAGTAGCTAGCTTTCAAGTAAATCTGTTTTTTACTCATTGAATACACAAAGTTCTTGAATAGTTTGAGTGGCAGAAAGTTAATGACAATATGAGGAGTAAACTTTGGCATGGGTCTTTACATGGTAATTAGGGTTAACGATTTTTATTACTTTCCAAGGTAGCTATATTAACTGATCACGTTGTGGTTTGGTAGAATCTTACAAGTTTGGAGGATTTAAACATTCAAGTATATCACATTGTTTTCCAAAAGGATTAAAGTAACCAGTCTAAAATATTGATAAGTTGGATGTTTCCTTTTTTATCTTTCTAAACATTTTAGGTTATATATATATATATGTGTATATATATATAGTATTTGTTATTTATACTCCATAGTGTAAGTAAAGAATTCACTAAAGTGATTTTTTTTTTAAATCACAAGCAGGCAACAGCTTTGAAGTGTGAAACAGGGAAGGAGCCGTTTCTGAGCTGTAAAATTAGTTTTTAAACAGGTAATTTGTCATCATTATATATGTTATTGTTCTTTGTGGGGGGTTTTTGTTTTCTGGCTTTTGGTTTTTATTTTTTTTTTAAAGATTTTATTTATTTGACAGAGAGTACAAGAAGGGGGAGTGGCAGACAGAGGGAAAGGGAGAAGCAGGTTCCCCACCGAGCAAGGAGCCCGATGCGGGGCTCCATTCTAGGACCCTGGGATCATGACCTGAGCCCAAGGCAGACGCTTAACCGACTGAGCCACCCAGGCACCCCTATGTTATTGTTTTTTGTATCATAGTTGGAAGATTTTGTAATGTTATAGAGACTGCTATCAGCATAGCAGTGCACGATTGAGGGCCCACTCTATTTAGTAAACAGACCTTCTGAGTTTGCTGCCCTATGTGCCTTGCTTTTTGGCATGTCACTTTGGTCTGCTTTCATACTTTTGCTAGAAAAGAGCCATGTCATTCTTAATTATTAAATACTAGAATAATTTAAACAATGCCTTTTGAAATGTCTTTTTTGTCACAGCATTTCTTCAGCCCATTTGAGTTAAAATTTGTCCTATAACAGCTACTGGATTTGCCTCTTTCCAAATCTATTTAATCTTAAGTCATTTCCTACAACTTTTCTATTGATTTTTCAAAAATTTTTATTCACAAATTTCTCTACTTTTTGAGCTTGTTACATATACTGTTGACTGAAGTTGTGTTTTTTTTCTTTTAGGTGTCTGAAGTTAAACATTAGTTTTTATGCATTGTCAAATGCTGGTTATGTACAGTTGCTCTCTGACCAGCCAAAAAAGTCAAGGAAAGTTTATTGAGGAAAAGTTAAATAATTATTTGCTAAGGACAATTTAGAAATTAAACGACTAAAGGATGAGGATCAGAAGAAATTTTTGTTGGAAATAATCGCTTTTTTAGGAAAAGTGTCAGAGTCTGAATTTAATTCCACTGTTAAAATTTTAAGACAACCTATTTTCAAAATATAGTCTAATATATCCTTGCTTTCCAGGAAAGCAGATAGGTCCTTAGTTCCTTCATGAACTAAACCAGCTATCATGAGAAAATACAGATTGGCAGTTGATTTATACCTTTATTATACTTTTCAGTATTTTTTTTTAATTGGAAGACTAATAGGACAAGAAAAATTGAATCGGGAGGTCAAATGTGAGTGTGTAGTAGAGTTCTTAACACTAGAGTGATATAGCTGGCATTTAGTAAAATAAAAAGAATTATAAAACCAGTTATAAAATAATTTTCTTTTTAACACGTTAGGAAGGTTGGATGAGATGGAATAAAAATTTAGGGCAATTATGTTAACTCACCTTAGAAGACCTTGATTTTCTCATTAGAGGATTTGGCCATTTGTAAAGGAGACAAGTGTATTTGACACTTGGGAAAAATAGAAAGCGTTTGGAATAATCGCACTAAGGAATTCATTTAGAAGCCAGCAGAGTACCTAGCAATACGTTCATCTTACAAATTTAATTGAGTGCCTACAGTGGGGACTTAATGACTGTAAAGTACTGGAGATATGGCAGTGAGCAAAACAGACAAGGTGCCTTATCTCATGGAGCAAACCTATGTTTTGAAAGTGTGTATTTATGTGTGTACAGTAAAATATACCTTAATAGTGAACATAGCTAATGACATTTTATAATTATTTCTCTGCTCTTTGACAGTTTGGGTGTAGATGCAAAGAGAGCAGGTAGTGGGGTTTATCCAGAATTGAATTGGTAGAATGAGCAAGTAGGTGAGGAAGTCAAGGACGCTTGCAAGGCATTTTTGGAATGATTTACTTGGGTTTATGTTTGGGGTTGAGTAAGGAAGCAAGGGATTAATGGATTCCTGGAAAGAAGAATGACCAAGGGACTGGAAGTTTGCAGTAGGGTCAAGAGCAGGTTCAGCAGGAATGACGAAGTGAGAGAAGTAGGAAGCAGGGACTTATGATCAGAAGAAGGGATTTCAGAACTTCAGGATCTTGAACAAATTACCAGTGCAGAGTGAAACAGTATTGGAATAGAGAAGATGAGAGGGATGTTGGATCTCCATTCACAGTCTTAGAAAAATCAGGAAAGTAGGTAATGACGTGGAGAGTGAAACCATGAGACAGTTATTACCAAGAAAAGTGCAAGACTGTCTTGGGGAGGACAGTAGGAAGTGGTGCCCACGGTAGGGAGAGTGATATTTTTGACGACTAATTTGTTCAGAAGAGGAAGGTTAATAAGCATTAGTTAAATAAGAATGGTCCATAAATGTGATCCTTTCCTCATGAATCTGGGGACGGGGAAGAGTAGGGCTAACCCCTTTTGGAAAGGATTGCTAGGGAAATAGTGCTTTTAGAGGGATTTGGGATTTTATTGAACCGGAAGAAGTAGGAGGAATATTGGGGAACAGATGGAGGGTGTATAGGAAGTTTGTTTGTAGTGGTCCAGTGAAAGGGGATGATACGAAGAGCTGATAACAGTGAGTGTGGGACTGGTAGCGAAGACTGAGATTCCAAGTTGATGGTGGTAGCAGGGTCTGTGGATTTATTTGGGTGTTATATGTAACCCATGACAAGGACGCAGTAGGTTTTGAATATAAATTGTAGGGAGGGAGAGGTCTTAGCAAGCAGAATTTAACTGACCTCAGTGTTCTCATTTCTCTGAGTAAGGGTATATTTTGTTGGTATGAAATGCTCTACACAGAATAACTATATCGTAAGATAGACCTATACAATAGTTGGTACATAGTGAGGTCTAATAAAATTTTTGTTGATTCAAATAGTGTTGTGTTTTGTTGCCATCTTTTTATCCCCCTCCCCTCAATGTCTTAACAGTTTTTGTTTTATTAATTAGAAGAGGGTAATTACAGAGATATCTTACGTTCTAAAAAATTATTAAAATTTTTAGAAAGTCTCAAATTGAAAGTGCTATGGAAAAGATCCTATGTGTTTTTTTTTTTTTTTTTAAGGTACTTGACCATCATAAGCACAGAGAAGAAATTGAGAAGTTCCTCAAATGAAACTGGCTAAACAATACATAAAACCAAATACTTATGCATTTTCTTCTCAGTTTCCATTAAAAGTGCTTAGTATATTTGGACACTGTATGAAGAGTTTCAAAACAGTGTACCAGGTATTTTTATAATTAGTAAAAGAAATACCCTAAATAATGCAACCTTTAGAAAACTTGTACAGATATATAAAGTACCACCTTTGGTTATTCTGTGACTGTAAGTAAATATTTAGAAAAAAACTACTTCCTACATTATTTTATTAGGATGAGTAATTTCTAAAACCTCCATTTACAGTTGTCAAATGGTATTTCCAGAGATGGTTAGAAGTAATTTAATGCCGTTTCAGAGATAATATCTGAATTTAAAGATTTTAGAAAAATAGTGTTTTTTCTTAACTTGATTAGTTTTTTTCTTTATATTCTTATTTCAAAAATTTACCTTGGGTCAATCATAGGTATTTCTGTGGTAATTATATATATATATATATATATATGTATATACACACACACACACATAGAAAGGTATTAAGTATATATTTATATATAAATACTTTTCTATGTTAAGGATCCTATGACAGGATTTTCTTCAAAAAGATCAGTCACAGAAAGTTTATAAATTGCCATAGTATTTTTGCATTTTGTATCTTTGTGAGATAAGGGAGCAGGATTAGGGCTGTCAAAAATAGCTAAATGAAACTTCTAATTAGTTTCAACTCAGTTTAGTAGGTCAGAGCATGGGTAGTCGTGTTTGGTTAAAGTAGAAGAATTTTACTTTTATCCCTGTTCTTCCCATACCATCATCTGTGACTTGCGCTGTTTGTTTTCCAGTGGCTTCAGCTTTTCCATTTTATTGTTTTTCTATTAAACCCGCCTGGCAAAATCCCCCACCTTGGATGGATTCAGTGGAGTATTCTACCCGGGCTGCTGAGCACTGCTGGGAAAAAAATTCACATTGCAGATTAGTGGTATCTGTGCACGTTCTCTGCTCTCACCGGAGTCCGTAGTGCTGCCCACAGCCGTTCTCCTTCACTCTTCTCCCGTCTCAGACACTGCTGTCTCACCCTCACATTTAAGGATCAGTCCTTTCTACTTCACGTCACTTACAGACTCCCTCAGCTAACTACCAGCAGGTCTGCTAACTAGCCTCCATATACTTCTGTCCTTCCTTCCTTTCCCTTTGTTCAAAGAAGGAGGTGTTCCTCTGTCTAAAGCCCATCATTTTTCTTAACACCCTGGGTCCCAGTTGCTACTGCTTTTTCACAGACCACACACTATCTCCTTTCTTTTCGCCATCTTCAAGATCTTCCTCTACTAGCTCTTGGCCAACAAATTTTAAGCATGCTTTTAACTCCTCATGCCCATCTCTGTCTGCTTCCCTTCATAGACTAATTCCTTGAAAAAATTACCTAATGACTTCTTTTATTTTTGCTTCTTCCTATCAATAAACGCATTCCAGTTATGGGATTGACCCTCCCCAGCCTGCTATAATTGCTCATGCCAAGGTCATCGGTAACCTCCTTGTTGCTATATCCAAGTGGACATTTCTTAGTACTTTTTTTTATGTGACAGAGTAACATCTGGCATTCTTACTGATAACCTCCTTCTTTATACACCTTCGCCTTTTCTAGCACATGCTCCTTGTTTCCCTCCTTTTTCTACCTTCTTAAGTGTTCTTTTCCTGTCTCTTAAATATCTGTGTCCCTCCAGGCTCAGTCTTAACTCTCTTCCTCTTCTCCCAGTGCCTTCTGTGCCACTTCAAGTACTTTTCTGAGCAGATGACTTGCAAATCTCCAGCCTGGATTTCACCTCAAACCCAACATTGCTAAAACTGAATTAATCATATTCTCTCAACAAAAATCTGTTTCTTTTCCAGTCACTGTGAATGTATCACCATACACCCCATTGTTCAAGCTCAAAACCTAGGACTCATCCTTGAACAGCTTTCTCACTGCCACATCATAATAGTCACCGAGTCCTATTGATTCTGCCATTGGAAGCCTACTTGAATTGGTCTTCTTGTCTACATACCTAGTATTTTATTATTAGAAGTCTTTCCATATAATAGTTTAAAATAATAATAATAAAAACTATATGAATAATAACAGTGTGTCCTCAGAACAAAATTTGGAAGGCAGGCACCTATTTCTAAAGGTGACTTGGAGGTGGTTAGGTTGGCATGAAGAGGAGGAAAATACTTGCCTGTATTTTCTACATTTTATGGGGGAAGAATTTTACCCTCTTAGATAAATCAGCTGTTACTATTTTGAGAATTGATCTACATGGAATTATTTCTTTAGCTTCATAGTAATACTTGTATAGGAGTGTGCCTTTTAAACACATTTGGTATCCTTATTATTAAGTTACTAAATATTCTGTCCTCATATGGGTGTTTATCATCACAATGTAACTATAGAGAAAGTTGTTTATTCTGTAAATTCAATAGCCTTTATATAGTAACTGGTCTTTAAAAAGATTTTTTTTAAAAATTTGACCTATTTTGGGCGCCTGGGTGGCTCAGTTGGTTAAGCGTCTGCCTTCGGCTCAGGTCATGATCTCAGGGTCCTGGGATCGAGCCCTGCATCAGGCTCCCTGCTCAGCTGAGGGCCTGCTTCTCCCTCTGCCACTCCGTGCTTTCTCTCTCTCTGTCTCAAATTAAAAAAAAAAAAAAAAATTTTTTTAAGGGGCGCGTGGGTGGCTCAGATGGTTAAGCGTCTGCCTTCGGCTCAGGTCATGATCCCAGGGTCCTGGGATTGAGCCCCACATCGGGCTCCCTGCTCAGCGGGAAGCCTGCTTCTCCCTCTCCCACTCCCCCTGCTTGTGTTCCCTCTCTCGCTGTGTCTCTCTCTGTCAGATAAATAAATAAAATCTTTAAATTTGACCTATTTTTCCCAAACTAATTTTAATAGTTTTTAAATTGTTTTAAAACTTGCCTTAATAGTGTTTAAAGTCATATAGCCTATAAATAGGTTCTTAGAAGAAGCTCTTCATTTTAGGAGGAATTTATCATAATATAAAAATAAAATAAAAATATTATCTCTCCAAATATATTTTTAATTTATCTTAAAGTAAATTTTATTACTCTACTAATAGAAAGCATAGCGTATACTATTTTAGGAAAAAATGGCATATAAGAGTTTTTATTTGAATACCTTAATAACTTCCCACTCTAAGTTATGTTTTACAGTTAGCTTCTAGTACTTTTGAAGATGGTATTGCCTCTACTGCATATGTAGTTTTTGGAGTGCCTGTTCCTTAATATTATAAATTACATTGGTACATCTAGGAAATAGCAGGTGCAAAATGATTCGTCTAAATGTCATTTCAGCTCATTGGACATACCTCTCTATGGGTATCAGTTATTTTGTAAAGTTCTTAAATATATTTCTAGTGTAAAAAACAATGCAAAGTATTGCTAAAAATATATGAGAAGAGGGGAAAAAGTATCACATTCCTACCCCCACAACCAACAGTTGATTTCATGCAAGGATTTTAGTATATATTCTTAGTTTTTTTTAATCTACATGCAATTTTACATACTGCTTTTTTTCCTCTTTTATACTCTATGATATTATAAACAGGCAATATTGTTCAGCCTTCATAATTATATATGTTTTGAAGGGTACTGTTTCCTAATAGCATCCAGCCTATGGTTTAACATTTAGTTTTCAATTTATCACAATTATAGCATAATAAACTATTTCCTGCATTATAGTTCCCCGCCCCCCCCCTTTAGGTTTGTTTTCTTATATTAGCTCTGGAAGGATAGAATTACTGGGTCAAAACTCCATTTTAGTTCTTGATACAGTATTGCCAAAATGCTTTCCAGAAAGGTTATGCCAGTTTACCCTCTCACCATAGTGACTGAGAGTTCCAGTTTCCCTTTGCTGTCATCAGGATTAGGAAATATGTGTAATATAGCAAATTTAATAGTCTCTTGTTTTAATTTGCAGCTGAACTTTATTGTTAATATTTTTATCATTTTATGTTTACTGACTTCTTTTTAAATTGCCTGTTTATACTTACTTTTCTTGGGTTTGGGTTTTTTTTTTTAGTGTTTTTATTTTTCTTGTTTTTCCCCATAAGTTCTTTATAAAGATATTGACTGTATACTTCATATTTCTTTCAGGTTTTCCCCCTGATTTGTCATTTACTATTACTATTATTTTTTTTCCATAAACTTGGGATTTACTTTTATGTGAATAAAATCTGTTGAACTTTTTCCCTTTTATTTCTGCATTCCATATTTGTAAGATCTCGATTTTTAAAGCCCATCCTGTTTTCTTGCTTGTCTGTTTGATTTTTTTTAATCTTCCTGATCTATTTTTAATCTACTTACTATCTTGGTGTTATGGTATAAGGCAGCCTTTTTCAGTTGGGAGAGAATTAAGCTCTAAGGCATCTATTGTTTACTGTGAATTAATTCCTCTTCTGTGTCTGGAATGGTACTGGGTATGTACCATCCTTGGGAGAATTGAAAAAAAATTGTTACTCATCATTTTTCTGTGTTCTGTATTTGAGATGAAGGATTCTAGTTGAGAAGTGCTGTTAAATCTCTAAATCTTTTTCAAAATTGTTAGCAAATTGTCCCATCAAGTGAATAAACCTACATCAGTATTTTTATGAGGATTAAATGATAGAATGCTTATAAAATATTTAGCATGGTGCTTAGCATATAGTAAACAAAATAGATGTTAGCTGTGATTAATTTTCTTCATTATGTTTTTCTAATTGGGTATATTTCAGGATTTTGCGGGGGGGGAAGCTAATACTAATTTAATCATATAGGTACTAAATATGATTGAATATCTCTTGGGACTAGTTTTCTAAACTCCCAACCTCTATTGCTACTTTTGCTTTTATTTTTCAGATATTAAATTTTTTATACTGACTTGTTTTGTCAGATTCTAAGAAGAGTCCCATTGGGAATTCATTAAGTATATATTTAGGAAAAAAATGGTATGTTTATAAAATTTGTCTTCCCATGAGGGAAGATAGTTTGTTTTTCTACTTAGTAAATTTTCTCTTACAAATTTTCTCTCACAATTTTGTCTTACATTGTTTTATAGTTTACTGGTGCTTCTTTATTTAGGGCAAAATTTACATTATTCCTAGATGTTTTCTTTTTTGTCACTATTTTAATTGGCATCATTTTTCTCCAGTATATTTTCTGTGTGGTTGTTGGTGATATTTTGAAGTTCTCTATGTTTTTTAATGCATATTTTTAAGAATACCACCTTTTGTCTTCTCAGTGTTAATATTTCTGTTTCATGTTTTTCCATTTTGTAGAACTTTAAAAACAATGCTAAATAACTGATATGTGACATTCTTGTTTTGGTCTTTATTTTATTTGGGATGTCCTTCATTTCTTATTTTAATATTATTGACTATTGGTTTAAAGTATATACTTTTTTCAACTCCTTAGAAAATTATTAAAGTAATATGTGCTCACTGAAAAAAAAAAAACAAATAGTATAATAGTAAATATAACTGTAAGGAAGTGTATTTGTACTTTTTAAGATTTTTTTCAAATTAAGTGTTGAATTTTATCACCATTTTTTTGAGATGATAAAATTTAACCTCTTTGGAATTTATTAATAGATTATTCTAATAGATATTCTAGCATTCAGACATCTGAGATAATTCCTACTTTGTCGTTGATGATAATGCTTTTAATTTTTTGCTCTAGTGAATGGGATAAGTTGGATCTTACAGTCAAAGCAACTTGGATATGTATTCCTCTTTGACATTTTTATGTGAATGACCTTGGAGAAATTATCTAACTTCTTTGATGTTAGTGTTATTTGTAAAATCAGAAACCAGTATAACCCTACTGTCTAATGGCTTTCTCTGCCCCTTGAATTCTAGATAAAGTTAATCTGCCCGTCTCTTTCGCTTAGTCCTTCTCCAGCTTGCGCAGTTCCACACCCAGTGGAAAGCCAGAGTCCTCCACAAGGTTATGTAGAAATCTCATTTTCTGCTGATCATCTCTGCTTCTGAACGTCTGCTTCTACCATTGCTCTTTGTTTTCTCTTCTCTTTGACCCAGGTATGAAATTCAGTACCTTCCTGGATATTCACAAAATCCTCAGTTCTTTTTTTAGTGGGGAGAATTTGCGACTTTGGTAGACTAGTCAAGATTTAGGGAAAACTGTGAGGTAGCAGCAGTGTAATTTAAAGTAAAGCAATAGGCATCACTCTTCTTAAATGTTTTAGGCCTCTGTATTTTATTGCCCATTCACTGACAAAGGCCTGCTTCTCTCTCTGCCTTCTCTTTGTCTTGCTTACCACTACCTTCCTGTTAAAACCAAACTTTTCTCATGCAGAGCAGTTCTGCGCTCTTTGAAACTTTGACACAAAACAAATTCCCAGGTCTTTGGGAACATTGGGTTTTTTTCCTAAGAGCAGTTTTGGTTCTAGACATTAATAACTTTTTCCTACCTCATTGCTCTACCTTTTAGGACTGTGTTCAACTAATTAAATAAAATAGCCTGAAAGCATGCAGGCCAGTACACATAGTGGATATTTTGAAGTTTTCCTTCCCTTTCCCATCTCTCCAGCTACTTAACTCATGTTAATCATAATATGTGTATGGCAGCTAAATCAATTTGTCTATGATGTGTGGTTGACACTACCTCTTTTTATTTCATAAAATCAACTTTTCTGAGATTCTTTTATGTCACTAAGCTTCTTGGAATGATTTAAAAGTTAAGAGTTTGTTTTTATGGGTTAAAAATGTTAATTCTCACTTGTTTTGCAGAAAATTAAGTAAAACCAGGATGGCCACAGGAGGAGGTCCTTTTGAAGAAGGTGTGAATGATCAGGATTTACCAAACTGGAGCAATGAGGGTGTTGATGACCGACTCAACAATATGGTACGATAACTTATTATTGATGGTGTATCCATTAACTGCTAATGATAAAATGAAACTTTCCCCTGACTTAGCCAAATCAAACTCACTGAGACTCTTTGTACACACATTTTTTTTCTTGCTAGCCAAGACATTAAATGACCCTGGGCTGTTTGTTATATTAGTTGAAGACATTTTTGTTTGCAGGTAACAGATATCAACATGAGTTAGCTCAAGCCAAAAAGGAGATTTATTATAAGTGTATAAAGATGCTTTATGGAAAATAAGTTAAACAGATTAAAACACTATAGCTGGGTTTTAGGAAGGGACTAGAAAAAGGAACCAGAAAATTGTCAAGAATTGCTTTTTCACCGCCCTGTCTCTTTGCTTCTGAGTGCCTTTGCTTAACACAACTTTTTTTTTGCAGACCAGCTTTCTCTCTTCTCTGGTTCATGTGGTGTACTATGGCTGACCCTTCCTTCTAAAGTTTTCAGTTATTGCTACAATTATATCCTGACTAGTTATCTTTTAGTTCCAATTTAAAATTTTAAAGTCTGATTATCCCAATTTGGATTAGATATGCATCTCTTTTCCAAGATATCCACAGATATCCATCTGTGGCCAGGAAGGGGTAGGGTAAGTAGAACAACAGGTTGGCAAGAACACCCACACATGGATGGGGGTGGAGGGACAGTTCGTAGAGAAGGGAGTTGTGTTATAAATGAGGAGAATATCCCAAAAGGTTTTATTGTAGTAAAACTAAATGACTCTTCCAATATGAAGAAGGTAGGAATTTATGACCTTTTTGTTGAATGATTTGGGTTATGTGGGTATAACTGAGTAAATAAGAATGTTTTCCCATTAAAACATGAATCATTTTTATCATTTCATGTAAGGTCTTATTATGTAATACATTATTGCCTGTGCAAAGTAAGTATAGTTATGTTTATTTCTTACTATATGCTAGGCACTGTGCTAGATGTTTTATGAATATTATTTTTAATCATGTTTTAAAGGTGACACTATTTAGAGTTTAGGAAACTGAGACTATGGGAAGTTAAGTAAATTGCCTAGGGTCGGTCACACAGTGAGCATTTCTTCAGATAACAATAATTACTTTAGAATCCAGGTTGATTCTGAATCTGTCTTATACACATTGATTTTAAAGGAGGCCAGTAAAGGTATTTATAATTTATTTCACTATCCAATTTATAAATAGTAGGGAACCATTTTTAAAAATGCTTTTGAAGATATTCAGACTGACTCTAGGGTTGTAGTTTGGCATTTATGTTTGTTAAAGAGCAATGATAGGAAAGTAATCTATTTTCTGAATAACTGTCTATGAAATTTAGACTGGTTGAAATGGGGGGGGAGGACACATTAGTAACAGTAAATAATTGTCTCTAAGGCTGTATGTTTATGTGAAAAATGTTTTGTCATTTTTAACTTTAAGACTGAAAAATTTTAAGCATATCAAATGACTTTCCTGGTTTGATAGAGGCCAGATTAATTTTTGCCTTTACTTTTTTAAAGGATTGGGGTGGCCAACAGAAGAAAGCAAATAAATCATCAGAAAAGAATAAGAAAAAGTTTGGTGTAGAAAGTGATAAAAGGGTAACTAATGATATTTCTCCGGAGTCCTCACCAGGAGTTGGAAGGCGAAGAACAAAGACTCCACATTCGTTTCCACATAGTAGATATGTGACTCAGATGTCTGTTCCAGAGCAGGCCGAATTAGAGAAACTTAAACAGCGCATAAACTTCAGTGATTTAGATCAGGTTTGTGAATTACTTTCAAAAATCAAGTTAGAACTATGGGAAGTATTTGGAATGGATTAAATAATTTCTCTTAAGAATAAAAAGTGAGCTCTTTATTTCCTTTTTCTTAGTTTCTGTGTATATGGAAAGAATTTTAATTAGTGGCAGTGGTATTATGTTCTGTGGAGGGTAAAAAAGACTGTTTCTAGACTTGCTAAGGTCAGGTCTTCTGTGACTTTATTACTAATACTCTATGACTAGTGTAAATCGTTTCATCCTGGAACTAAATTTTACATGTTAGTAACTGAATAAGATTGCTGTTAAGCAAAAGGGCAGATCCAGTTTAGAATATTTATCATTGGCTAAGTGTGGGATGGTCTGGATTACTCAAGTTTAAAATAAAACTGTGGTTGGTATTAGAATCACTGAAATAAAATTTGGAACTAAAAGTAAATGGAAATGATAATGAACTCTAAACAAATGTTTTATTGTCACGTCTGTGCTTTAGAGAGATAAAACAGTTTACCAAATATGCGTAAAGGTATGTTCAAGTCTGATATGATGGTACTGGTGATCACATCAATTAGTCATCTGTTTATAATTACTGAACATTTACTGTATACCAGGCACTGAGCTGAGTACTTTTTCAGGCAGTGTTTCATCTAGACACATCCTAATGCTGATGTTTATATTAATTAAGATCTACTCATTGGGTCCAAAGCCCATACAAAATCGGTGAACAAGTATGATTAGCAATGTGAGTTATAAATAGGGTTTGTAGTCCTAGTACTTCATTTAGACTGATCTTGCTCATATTCATCAGTTGAATTAGGTCTGACAAAATGAGGAATAGGACGAGTTGATCAAATTTTGGTATTTTAGTAAAAGACTTTGTAGATTTGAATCTTTTTGAATCTTATGGACAGAGCTGTTTATGTATACTTCCTGAATCAATATCTGATGGTAAAACTGATTAAGAACATTGGAATTTTTTTTTTTTAATTATTGAAAAATTAATGTTTGTGGGATTTGGTTTCTTTTTCATATGTAGAGAAGCATTGGAAGTGATTCTCAAGGTAGAGCAACAGCTGCTAACAACAAACGTCAGCTTAGTGAAAACCGAAAGCCCTTCAACTTTTTGCCTATGCAGATTAATACGAACAAGAGCAAAGATGCTGCTATAAGTCCTCCAAAGAGAGAAATGATTGGATCAGCACAATGTAAAGAGTTGTTTGCCTCTGCTTTAAGTAATGACCTTTTGCAAAACTGTCAAGTCTCTGAAGAAGATGGAAGAGGAGAGCCTGCAATGGAGAGCAGCCAGGTGAAAAATGTTTTGCTCTTTGCTTTCATGAGCTTCAAAGTAGAATATTAAGATTAAGAAAGTTTTATTGGGTTAGGCACATAGGAATTTTAGCTAAGTACTTCTGGACTCGCTTCATTATTCTCTCAGATTTATTCATTATCGGGTAAATTTCTCTTTACCCAAAATGATTGTAGAAATGTTTTATTGTTAATTAAGGCTTCTGTTTACCTGCCAAAGGCTGTGTATCAATTTTTTATTAAAGAGGAGTTTGAAACAATGTGATTAGTAGATTGTAAGAATTTTTTTAAATCGTTATATAATTCTCTTGAAAAGTACCTTCAAAAGTATAATACTTTTACTTAGAAGGAAATAATATATAAGCATTAGAAGAAATTTACATAAATTGTAGTTTAAAGGCATGCAGTTCTGTAAGTGAAATTTTTTGGGTAATGTAAATTAAAACTAATTTTGAAATTTTGAAATTCATAGTAATTGGAGTTGTTAGTATTGCCAATTATGTTTTGGTTAAATTCTAAATTTGATTCAGATCTTTTGCATGTAAAACGATAAACCTAGACTATATGTGAAATAAAAAATATGTAGAAGTGTTGCTGTGGAATGCATTATGCTTAGTTTTACATACTGTTTATTTTCATGTTTTTTTTTTTTCCACCAAATGTTTTTCATGCAGATTGTAAGCAGGCTCGTTCAGATTCGTGATTATATTACTAAAGCTAGTTCCATGCGAGAAGATCTTGTAGAGAAAAATGAAAGATCTGCTAATGTTGAGCGCCTTACTCATCTAATAGATCACCTTAAAGAGCAAGAAAAGTCATATATGAAATTTCTCCAAAAAATCCTTGTAAGTTTTGGACCTTTTCAATAATGTGTTGAATTATTTTTGTGGTATATTAGTGTACATATACTGATAACATTCTGATTCCACCCCAGAGGAGTTAATATATTTTCAGAAAATCGTGCCATCCATTATAACATTTTATTGCCCTTTTTAATAGTTGTATGATTTATACCACTAAAATATTTCAGGCTAGAGAAAATGAGGAGGAGGATGTTCGGACTATAGATTCAGCTGTGGGATCTGGTTCTGTAGCTGAGAGCACATCGCTAAACATAGATGTGCAGTCTGAGGCTTCAGATACCACGGTAAGCGGCTTTTTGGTAATTAAAAGTGCTGGAAATGAAGATTTAAACTTTTCCCCCATTTTTCAAGATGATATTTTTTATAGGCATTCCTTAATGAAAAGTATATTTCAGGGAAGAAACCCTCAAATTGTTAATGCTGTATATATTGTTTTAAAGCATGGAAGTATAAAAGTTTTACTTACTAACATTGAACACTTTCATGGTTGATTTAAAAATCTGATTTGTGATCTGCTTGCAGAAACAGTTTTTCTATTGGTTTCATTAAGCACAACTTTACTCATTTTAAGCATTGGGAAAGTTAAAATTCATCATGAGTATAAGAGCTAGGAGCACAAAATATCATTACTACAAGTATATTGTCTCTTAGAAAAATCTCCAAGTTCTTTTGCTGTTGAGGATTCATTTGAAGGCTACTAGGATTTTTTATACCTCGGGCTAGCTTTGAACTGTAGCAAAACCAGATGACTGAAACTTCGAGATGAAATTGGGACAGGGTATCATTTACATTATGATTTGTGGTGAGAAAAATAAAATTTCTAACTCTGCAAAATGAAATTTATTAAAATACTGTCTTTTGGAAAAAAAATCAGGAGTTTACAGAACTTTGAGGAAAGCTTTGTAAAATAAACTTAGTTCATAGAAGGTAGTGTGCTTCAAAACTAGTATGCTTTTAAGCATTTTTATTTTAACAGGTGCACCTATAACCATGCATTAGTAAACTTGAAAACCTGTTACCAGTAAAGCTTTTCTTATGAAATGATAACCATGTATGTCCATCTTTTGTTTCTGAGATATGTTCTAAAATACCATTCAGCATGAGAAATTTGAGGGTTTGTTTCCATTTAGTGTTGACCTGTGTAGTTTCTTACCCGCCTCCTTTCTTTTCCCTGCCCTTCCTAATTTGAAGAGGAAATTTGAATTTTTGTCCTACATTATTTTCACCAGGAGATAGATATTCAGAGGGCTTGATCCAAACAACTGTTGAAAATAGATTCTTTTGTGGAGAAATTGTTTTTCTGTTTACAGTGGTGCTGGGAATAATTTTTTTCCTCACATTTCATTCCAGCAGAAATGGAGGAATTGGGGAATGTGGGTAAAGGAATTCTGTTGGGGAGGGGTGGGAAATGGTATAGTTGGTTATTTTGATGTATAAGCATATATAGTGTTCACTGTGATAATTTTTTTCATAACATAAAATGACATAATGAAAGTTGATATTAATAACAGCAGAATAAATGTTAAAATGTGCTCCAGTTGTATAGTTTGGAAATTGCCTAGGATATGATATGATACTTGATTATAGTAAGCATTAGTCTAGTCTTACAGAAATTTAAAAGTCTTAAGTTTATTGCCACTTGGGGGAGGGTGGATTGATTTTTAAAGAGATGGACTGGTAAATTTTTTGTATTTATTCACAAGGCTGGCTTGTATGTTAAACAGGAGTTTGTATTAAGAAATTAATATGCTACACTATTTAATAAAGGAGGCATCTTTTAGTCTGAGAATTCGGCCGTGCATTGAGGACAAACTAGGGAATTCAGCTTCACAAGAACAGGTTTCAGACATTGACGTTACCACAAGTCCAAAAGGGAAAGGTGACAGACCTCCTCAGAATGACAGGGAACTGAGGCCTAATAGGAAATGTAGCCGAAAACGTGGATTTCCCTCAAAGGTATATTTCACAATATTAATCTGGGAAGTCTCTAAATGAGTACCTCTTTTGTTCACATTTCCTCTTCCTTATTTGCCTTTCTGTTGTTGCTATTACTCTTAAATATATAAGCTATTAACACGGCTAATTATACTGTAATTTGCCTTAGTAAAATGCTATCCCTTAGTGTTTTTATTTTTCTCTGCTTCCTTACACTCCTCCCGGTGGATTATATGTGGCAGCTGTAGTTAATTTGCATTAACAAAGGACTTAATCCATTTTCTTTTTTTGCCATTGAGAACTCAAAATAGAATTCTTAAACCTTAACCATTAGTTGCCTTTTGTTTCTTGATATTTGTATTCATGTATGAACGTGGTACTTTTAAGTTTTGTCTTAATTCTTGTAGTCATTCTTTAAAGAAAAAGAAAATGGAGTAAGCTATTAGCTTTCCTGTCTTTCTAAGAATGAAGTATTTTTATAGTGCCTTTTTTTTCCTTTTTTTCTTTTGTGATTTTTATTTTTGTTCTTGTTGGAAACCCCTTCCATTCTTTTTTTTTTTTAGAAAAATACTTAAGCAAAAAAGTTGACTTGTTTGGTAATGTTTCTGCTGGTTTTTTTCCTCCAGTGTTTGCTCTGAATTTTCCATGGTTTGCCTAAATGCACTCAGGAAAGGTTTAAAGACAGCTCTTTGTGTAGTTACACTTAAAAGAAGTTGCAATAAAAGCATAAGAAAGTGCTCATACCCATTTGGCAAGAGTAAAATACTATTTTAATAAGTATTGATTAGACTAATTTCTTATGTTTTATTAGCTTATATTAATATACTAGGATTGGTCTATTTGTTTATGCACTTTTTTTTTGCTGTTTAAAAATGATAAAACCTCTAAGTATTTTGGCAGGTTTTTTTTTTTCCTGGCTCCCATAAGAATTTGAGGATACAGTTTGAAATCAACTAAGATGATCTTACTATGAAGTATTAAGCAAAAGGTGCCCAACACAACAGAATAGTAAATAAATAGCTGATTATTTTTAAAATGAGTAGCATTGGAGAAGAGAAGGTGTGAGACACAATAAATATCCTTTGGAACTTACTGTTTTCTTTAAGTTTTCTGAACAGTGACAAACAGGAAAATCTGCCAGCTTTTCTTTTTTTCCTAAGGTGATACGTTTACTTTTTAAAAACCATTTTTCTGTTTTTCAGTTTCCTTGAATAATAGCCTTATAAGTGAATACTACTCTCTATTGAACTTTCTTCTTGGAGTTTATTCCAATTGATTCTCTTTAATCTTTTGATTCTTAGGGCTATCCTAGGGTAGTTCTATCAGTACTCTATTCATAATATTATTTTATTAGAAAAAACTCCTCATTCTCACCAACTGACTTTATTTTTCCTCTGCTCTGCAGAATTGTGTTCTCCCTACCTCACCTTCATTCCCTACTTAACATCTTTTCAAGATGTCATATTCTGTTAGGAGAGTAGGAAAAAAGTTGAGATTCAGAGCTTAAACCAACCTTGTGAGTTGTAGCTTGATAGGAAATGGTTGATATTTTCCAGCTGCTTACAAGGACAGAATCCATTTTATGGAATATTTTATAGACATGATGACACTTTGCGTAGTTTTTAAAAAAGAAGCCTTCCACAAGTACCTGTGCCCTCATTATTTTCCCATACTCTCCTTTCCCGCACATTCACTCCTGGCTTTTAGAGACATTATTAAGCTTTTTAAAATATTATCTACTCTTTTTCTGCTATTATTTTCATCATTTCTAATTATTTCATGTGGGTTAACTTTGTCTCCCAAACCAGACTATGTTTCCTCAGACAATGGTGTCTTAGACTTTTGTATTTAAAACTACTGAGCATATAATTTTGGAGCAGGCAGTGTGGTGTGGAAAACACCAGCCTAGAACTTAGGAACCTAACTTGCCCTGTGATATTGGATAAATCACAGCTTTATCTTCTCTGGGCTTATAGTTCCACACCTTTCACATGAAAAAATGTAGTACATATTAGCTGAAGTACTTTTCAGCTACAAAAATAAATTTGGATCCATGAAAAATTATTGGAGGAACCTCATTTTTCTAGAGGAAAGGGAGACAGAGTTTTCTGAAATTGAACTGTTACCTGTATGCAGCTTTGGATTTCATGTCTAAGTTAATTTTTTTATCTGTAAACTAAAAACGTACTTGTTGGAGGTGACTTAAAAAGTTTAAGTGAAAATATGTGTTTGAAGGGTTAATATATTCTTTGCTTCCCTTTTGGATTCCTATTCCATGCACCATCTACTTGGCATGTTCTAATCCCTAGGTATTTTTATTTCCATTTTCTCATTTTCCCTTTCTTTATATTTGACTGTAGTCCCTTCCTGCCTCCCTTAGGTCAGGTTTTCTGAATATTAGTTTGAAGTGTTAATTATTATTTTTAAAGATTTTATTTATTTGAGAGAGAGAGAGCACGAGAGGAGGGAGAGTCAGAGGGAGAAGCAGACTCCCCGCTGAGCAGGGAGCCCGATGCAGGGCTCTATCCCAGGACTCCGAGATCATGACCTGAGCCGAAGGTAGACGCTTAACCAACTGAGCCACCCAGGTGGCCCCTGAAGTGTTACTTAAATGGATGCAAAAGTTACTAAGCCGTAATGAACTCTACTAATTTCAAAATTGTTGGGAATTCATTTTTATATTACTGAAAAATCTGGAGGTAATTGTATTTCCTTTAATAAATAGTTCAGAATTCTTTATAATTTGAGTATCAGAGTTTTGCAAACAAATGTGAATAACAAGGGGCGCCTGGGTGGCTCAATCTGTTAAGCCTCTGCCTTCTGCTCAGGTCATGATCTTGGGGTCCTGGGATCCAGCCTCCCCCCTCCCCCCTCCTTCAGCCTCCCTACTCAGCGGGGAGCCTGCTTCTCCCTCTCCCTGACCCACCGTGCTCTCTAATGCTCTCTCTTTCTCTCAAATAAGTAAAGTAAGTAAATACAATCTAAAAGAAAATATGACTAACAAGGATTAAAGTTCTTTTTAAAAGTTTGCTTCTTAAAGGGTAAAAAACCAGAATGTTATTTAGTAAACTCTATGAAATTAGAGAGTTTTAAGGTTACCTTGAAGTGTGAACTACATATTTTTGAGAGATGGGAGGATTATAAATTGAAATAAGCCAGAACTAAGAAGATGAATTTTAACAGGAGTGAATGTCAGTGTTAGCAACTTAACTCCACTTGTATAGGTGGAGAGAGGACTGAGTACACAGTAGTTAATTTGAAAAGGGCTTTAGTTTTTTGGAAATTCAAGACAACAGAAAATAATAAGTACTGCTTTGACCAAGATAATTGCTTCTCTTCCATGTTTATGAAGTCTAGTCAGTCAATACAGGATAGAGGCAGCACTGACTTGAATTCTCTGATTTGTGCATCAGATATTCCAACCACAGTCTTTCTACTTCCTTATTTGATCTTACTTTCTTCCAGTATTTAATTTAGAGCCATATACTTATTCACTTGGGAAGGTAAAGAGAAGGGATTTTTGCAGAGTATCGATAAAGGATGTCACCCAGGAGGGAATCTCTCTGGAGCCATCTGTGTTTCCATAATTTTTCCAGGAATCACATGTACATTGAGAAAGTAGATTAGTGCATTTTACTTTGAAATGGAATTATTGAACTTCTTTTATTCTTCTTAATAACTTTGGTAGTTGGGATTATTCACTTAAAATCTACATAACCCCAACCAAAATTTGGTAGCAGTGCAAATTTAAAATTGACTAAATGTTTCTAAGTTAATAGGAATATTCTCTGTAAATATTAGGTAAAATCTTTAAACTTTTAAAATATAAGATTTTTAAGAAGGAGATCAATGATGAAAAATTCCAGTATGGTATACATACATTTCATATGTAATTTGTCTTATACTTTATTTTTCCCAAGTTGTATTTAAATTGGTTTCTTTGCTTGATTGACTTTTATTTTTTCTTGTTGGGTTAAATTTCACTAGTTTTAAGATTGATCCTTAACATTTTATAATTTTTTAAAAGTGGCATCTATCTAATCTTACTTGTCTACTTTAGGCAAAATGGTAGCTTTTGGAGGGAATTTTAAAGTATTCTATTTAATTTCTCAGACTCAGCTAGATAAGCATAATTTAAAAGAAAACATAATGATATCTTTGATACAAAATATAAAGTTTTCTGCTTTATTTTATGCTTATGAAATGAGATGTAAGTAAATGAAGCCACTTACATCAAATTATCAAATAGAAGTGTTTCTACAGTTTTTGTCCTTGGTTAGAAAATAGTGGGTTCGTTTTTGTTTTATTAGTATTTTTTATTTATTTTATTTTATTTTTTTATTATTTATTTATTCATGAAAGACAGATAGAGAGAGAGAGAGGCAGAGGGAGAAGCAGGCTCCCAAGGAGCAGGGAGCCCGATGCGGGACTCGATCCCAGGACCCTGGGATCATGACCTGAG